TTACGTATGTATGTTACTACTAACAATTTTAAAGTAATTTGACAATTGATAGGGCATTTCACATTTAGTACGGTAAGTAAAATGCAATAACAATGGAGCGGTAAAATGGTATTTGATGCTGCTTGTTACATATGTAAATCGTACCCTCGGTCTCGGTTGTAATAAGGACAAGTCTGCAAAATGACAATTTTGCAGAAGTGGTTTAAAGATTCAACGGACAAAATAAAAATAAAAGGATAACTTTTTATGCTTTGACCGCCGTGGACGCTTTAAAGTGTCTTGCATTAACGTGGCTGATACGCCAATGGCGTCTGAAAGCGTCAATGAAACCCATTGACTTACAATTTTATGGACGTCGGGTCCGCGCTAAAAAGTGTCCGAACTTATAGGGCGTTAAAATCGGATACAGAGCGTCATTCACGCTTTAGTCGTCGTTTGTTCGACTGACAGCGAAGCAAGCAAAATTAGACAGTACTGCGATGACATTACAATTTAAATGTAACGCTTTAGCTTTTTCATATTCCTTTACATGTCATTACGTTTAAATAGGTTGACTTGGGACATTTTTTTCGTGGTTTTCGTATTAGACCCGTCGTCCATTTATTTGTAAGTCAATGATGAAACCTATTAATTTTCAATTGAATTGTTTAAAGAAATATTAAGATTTTCCTTGTGTTATTTGTTAGTTGTATTTCATGTTTACTTATGTTCTTATTTCATCTAGGAGAATTGTATTAATATAAGGTGGATTCATAACATGTCACTATATGGGTTTGGCGTTTGGGGAACGAAATCGTAATGCTACCTAATTTATACATCTAACCTAGACTAAGACTGTCTAAATATATTTTGTACAGTATCTTGGCTTCGTTCAATGAAGGAACGAACAGTATACTATTACACCACCCAGTCTGTTGTATGTTAACTACACTACCCAACAGTCTCCTGAGTTCCTCAGTCCGGACACATTCTATCAAAGCGTGATAAATGTCTTCAATAACACCGCAATTGCTGCGATATGGAGTTAGTGTAATGCCCATCAAAAAGGTAAAATTCTTTGAAGGAATGTGCCCAGAGCGCAACCTCAGAGCCGTCACAACACCAAGTCTGTTCATCAAACAATTATCAATCCATGGAACTTCCAGTGGCTCAGATGGAATTGTTTGGAACCAGATACCTTTTTCTTTGGATCTCTCATCAAAGTATTCTTTCCACAGCTGGTGGCAATAAGTTTTCATTTTATACAAATAATCTGTATAACAGGGCAAAACAGATATCGTATCGCCAGTACAATAGGCTTGCTTAGTAAGCGAATCTACCTTCTCGTTACAAATAATGCCACTGAAGGTTAAAAGGTTAAAAAGTCGACACTACCTCAGGTAGAATTCAAAATTTTCCCATGCTGATACGGTTCATTTTGCTTGGGTCGAGCGTCAGGGGACATTGGCTTTATTTCAACAAATTGTCATTGTTATTACTTATGTGATCTGTGGTTATTACTATGCTAATGCAGCAATTTTTCAATTCCACTGTAATAATGACAACAAGAAAACGAGTTACATTGTTTGAAATATAGCAATGAGGGTAAAAGAAGACATCAATATTCTCCAATCAAATGACCTGCCATTGGTTTTATTATACAAAAGATATGAAATTTCTTTAGGTATCATTTTATTAAAACAATACATTAATTTAAACGTAAAGCGATTGCTTATCTATTTGAAGAATTGGTGTACGATCAACTTTACGATTTTATGCGGTATTCGTTGCAATAAATGCTGAACGTGCTCTTAAGTGTTGCTTGCGAAGTTCACTTCAACTTATATATTATTAATTAGGGACGCTGTCAGCGTTTTTAAGTATCCTGCCTTAGGAATTGAAATTACATAAATTTATCCAGCTATAGTCCTAATAAAATAAAATACTTATCGGACAGATAGTGGTACAGTCTTTTCAAACATGTAAATTTGACAACGAATGTAGGGTTGTCAACCGATTCAATTGTTCCGTGTTAGGACAGTTTTATGACTTTTACTCGCATCTTCATTCCCGTCCTGAGTCGAGTAAATAGGACTACGTAATCTATGACACAAACGAAACTATATCCGAATATGTTAAGGAACTGGAAATAAGTAAGGTTTTTTATGATACCAAGTGACGGGACGAACAAGTCGTGCGCCTGGTGGTAAGCGACACGCCTGTCCATGACAGTTGCATTGCCACTCAGAGCTTTAAATCGCAAAGATCTTATGGGCACTTACACTGCGCCCGTCACCCTGAGACATTAAGTTGATAAGTCCCATGTGTCTATAATTTCACCAGCACCCTTACCCTTCAAAACCGGAACACAGTAAACAGTTGAGAATATGAATGTATTTAGTCTATGAATGTTCCTTAATGAATGCTAATGTCAATATCGGAATATAAGATAAATAACAAAAGCCTTTTAAATTTCAAGTATAGAAAGATTTCTCACAGATGGCGAATCAAAAATCAAAGGTCGGCAACAAGCACATAGACAAATTCGTGACGTCTGCTGATTCGTTCCGTAGCTCAATCGGGGGAGGGTAACCTTCGGTCTGGCAAGCAGCTGCTGGTTCGTATCCAGCCGGATCGTGCCCGATTTTTTTTGCGTATCTTCTCTATCTAACAAGTTTTTAATTTTTTAAATAATATTTTTAAGTAATGGTAATGAAAATGTAGTCACTCATCGGCTTTTCAATACCGAGGGGAGGGAAATTCTTCCAATATCCCTGGATATTGAAAGAATTTGGGTCGGTTGGTATTTTTCTAAAATCACTTTACATTCAATTTACGGTAAATATTGAATGGTATTCCATAAATTAAAGGAACAAATATCTACTGAAGTATTTAAAGAAAAATAGGTAAATTTAAATAATAACAAAGTTTTTAGGTTTTCACAATTGATACACATTGAAATAGAAACTATTTTTTCTGGTCTTATATGGTCGGTATATTTCTTGCTTGTAATAAAAACTAGACAGAATTCTGTTTCATAACTGTAGTTTAAAATGTGTTAGTTTGCATTAACATTAGACATAACTGTTTGATGACTAAATAACACGGAAAAAGTATCGACACTTTTCGATATCAAGTATTTTTCTTTGGATACTTGTGTACTTCGTACTTTTTATTCGATAATTTTCTGGTATTGGTACTTTTTAACAAATATCGTATCGTGTCGAATAATTCATACTTAATTTAAGGTCTATGATACCGAATTTGTAATAAAAATAAGACAGAATTTAATTAATTCTGTTTCGTAACTGTAGTTCAACATGTGTTAGTTTGCATTAACATTAGACATAACTGTTTGATGACTAAATAACACGGAAAAAGTGTCGACACTTTTCGATATCAAGTATTTTTCTTTCGACACTGGCGTACTTTGTACTTTTTGTTCGATAATTTTCTGGTATTGGTACTTTTTAACAAACATCGTCAATAATTCATACTTAGTTTAAGGTCTATGATATCAATGTGAACATTAAAGCGATTGATTGTACTATAACCAATGATAATTGACGTACTTTATGGCTTTCAACATTATATTTGAATTTTGAATCGAAACAAATAATTTAATAAAAAGCCTTGATTAATTATCTTAAGTTTACTACTGTCTTTAAATGGGGAAATTTGTAGGATCGTCACCTACAGATATCGGTCCTTTTATGAATGCGATATTTTTTATCGGTAGCCACGAGTACAGTATCGGCACTTTTGATTCGATACCTTGTCCCTAGTAAAGAGCCCGAAACGTTGGTTTGTTTGAAAAAACTTCTTTACTTTAGATTGAAATAGTTCCATTTCTAATTTATATTTATCTATAATAAAATAAGATATCTACGTAACTTTGCATGTGAGACCCCGTAAGTTCAAAAAAATGGAGAGACCGGTAAGCTATCTCTACATGTACACATACGTGCAATTTTATAGCTAGCTGTATCATTTTTCTTGACAACGCCACTGTAGACGGTAAGGATAAGTTCCAGCTACGTTACTCCTAAGGTTTACTTAAGAAGATTGATGTGTTCCCATGTACGCTGGTATATCGCCGAGAATATACTTTAGCTTTATTTTCTTTGACAATATTCCTTCCTCAAATGAAGCTTTTGGAAGACGTTATTAAAAATTTATTTGGTAATAGCTTGCGCTTTTGTTTTTAGAAAAAAATTAATTAAGAATCAAGGAGTCGCAGGTTTGTAGAATGCCTTGGAATTATTATTTAGTTGCGTTAAATACGATAAGAGGAGCAATGTGTCTGCTAAATTTGAAACACTACGTGTTTGGACCCTGACGCCTTTTTTACTTTTCAAGCACAATAACGGGATATTGAAGTTCAAAATATAATTTATGGGCCAAACAAACAAACAAAAAATATACACACAATTATAACTTTACAAATACACATTCTTACCTCGATGATCTCGCTGGCCCAACGGCTTAGGCTCTCGGCGTTGGATGTGGAGGAACCGGGTTCGATTCCCGGTACGACCAATTTGGGAAAATTTATTTTATTTTGTTACAAAACTTACTTTCCGTTGTTAAGAATCAGTTTTATCGAAATAAGAAATGTCAATATCATCATCGATATCAACGGAACGCTGGCAGGCGGCCGCCATTGTGAAAAACATGGTTGCCGAAAAAGGATGTGGTTTTGTTTTGTTTGGATGTATAGTGAAAGATATTATAATATATACTTTTTATCAGTCACTGGAGTCTCATTCCTATGTTAAATCTTCACAGTAGTAGAAAATCTAACACTAGTTTGAGACCGGGTTATTGATATGGTAGTTTCGTACATTATTATTATATCTATTTTTGCTCTCGCTCTCCCATGACCTAAAAGATTAGTTTTGAATTTTTAAAACTACCGCGATTTTTTCAGTAGAAGCCACATATCGGTGATCTCGCGAGTCATATTTCCGACGTTTCACGGTTTCGGTTTATTGTTATTATATAGAATAGATGTGACTTACCTAGCCAATAGAATAGCATCCAGTGCCTGCGGTTGTCGTGCATCGATGATAATAACATGTGGCACTTTGGTTTCCGCGTCGCGTCTTAACGCGTCCAACGCTTCTTTGGGCCCACGTACGACGCGCGCCTCGCCGCCCGAGCGAGAGGCCGCGACGCAAGCCGATGCGCACGCGCGAGACGCACGTTCCGGAAACACGCATAGTAACTGTGGATTGGAAATTAGAATAATATAGTAGTGTAACGGGGTTCAGGGGGCGTAGCAAAGGGCTCGGTACGACGGCGACGTAAAATGCAGCAGAGTAGAATAAAAGACAACTTTACTGTTTGTTGTATAAAAAAAACCGAACGGGAGGTTCGGTAGGTCTTCATACCTATATATACATACATACATACATACGTCGTCCAGTAAAAATCATTAATACATTGTTTGCTTAACTGTTTATAGCACAGAGGGAAAATCGACCATGGCTGAGTGAGAAGGTTCATAAATATCTCAAAGATGTCGCTTACGGTGTCGAAAGCAACTCAATATAATGATCTATAAAAGACACATAGAAGAATTTCGTCGACCTGCTAACTCGATCTGTAGCTCAGTTGAAAGAGCAACGGGACGGTATTCCCGTGTTCGCAGATTTCTTTGAGTTCGATCTTGGTATTAATGATTAAAAGGACTTTATTAATTAAATACATATATATAGAAAAACACATGATACATGTACTAATAAATTATGAGCTACTCTGATTTCTATTTCTAATATGTTAATGAAAAGAACGAAGTCTGAGCAAGTGCTGTTTCCCAGTCTCCGCCTGTGTTAGGCTTAATTCTATTTATTTGCTGGATACGAGGGGTAATATGTATAGTTACACCATAAAAAAACACATCAAGCAAAACAAACAAATCTAGTACTGACAGATACTTTTATATTTTGCAAGAGTTTCAAAATCAGGACATAAAACCATCGTAAAAACCCATAACACCCTTTAATGCATCTATTCTGAGTCTGTATACAACCATTGTTCAATTTATAAGTGAGAACGGCGTTCAACCCCTTTTCCCGACGGATCGATGAGCGTAACCAGTCTTAGTTCAAAGCCTGTAAGATCTTGCACCTTTTACACACCTACCGACTCGCGCGGTGTTTCATGTCGCTATAATATAGAAGTTGGCAACTGAACTGTTAACTTCGTTTGAAACGAGTTGTAAGTTTATATTACGTGATTCCCATAAAGTAAATAAAATATTATGTATACTAAAGTGGTTTTTGCCATATTTAATTTATTTGAGAAAACAAAGATTATTATAGAAATTGACTTGTGAAATAATTGTAACTTTTTTACAAAAAAAGCCGACCTCTAAAGTTTATGGTATTCCGTCTATTTGCTAAGTTTTATTGATATCAGTTAACGGAAAGTGGATGAAATTCAAGAAAACGGATTCATCATCTATTTTACCAGCCTTAGAGGTGGAATATTTTCTTCAAATTTAAATGGGACCACTTACTGAAGTACCCCATTTCGAACAAACAAAGAACCATCGAAATCGGTTCACAAATGTCGGGGTAATTGTATAACACACCACAAAAATAAACAGTCGAATGAATGTCCTCTTTTGGCTAAGTGACAAAATAATTTTTTGAGATATCATAAAAACCACAACCCCGTTTTCAGAATATTGAAATTGTCTAATGATATTTCAGCTATGCAAGTCGAACTATTATTGTTTTCAAAAGAGAATTTCGTGCTCTATTTTTTGCTATTTAAAACTATTATTTGACCATTTTTCACTTAACCGCATTTTAGTTAGTGGACGGCAGCATTAGACATCAAAATATATTGAAGGTATATTTTAGATTTACACACAAACATTTAGGTGCGGTATTTTTTAAACATTAATATCACATGGGCATGCACATATGGATTTAATAAGTCAGTCAGCAATTTTAACGCGGTGATAGCCATTTGGATCAATTTTAATGATAATAAGTTGTTAAATGTAACTAGATGTCAAAATAGCAATATCAATTTCGTTAATAAATATTCAAATGTAAAAATAAATGTCTACGTCTTCTATCAGGTCATCTATTCCCGAAACAATCATGTTCATTAGTTTTTAATAATCTCTCAGGTTTAATTTTTTAAACTTCTGCTGATAGTTGTTACGTTGTAGTATGTTACGAGAGTTGCTATTTATTTACATCTCTATCTTTTTTAAATATGGAACGTTTTATTAAATTAATATCGTCAAAGTAAATAACAGACCTACGTAAGTTATCGTAAGCCACACAAATAGGTGCATATTTTTTCATAATTCTATCGTCATAAGGTCTATTACACTCAGCAGTATAATTATATAGCATGAAAAATATGAGTATGTATTAAATTTATTTGCAATACTCAAAAATCGTATGTATTGTACTCACTTTAGTCCTTTCAATACATTAAAACATTTGTAGCAGTAGAGCTCCTTGTAAAAGTGTTCGTCCAGGGAAGTGCTGCTACCTTTTTTTATTTATTTATTTATTATTTTTTTTATAATATCAAGTGACGGGATGAACAAGTCGTGCGTCTTATGCTAAGCTACACGCCTGTTCATAACAGTTGCAGTGCCGCTCAGCTCTTTAAATCGCATAGATCTGAGACATAAGCATATCTATATACCTATTTTTGCCGCCAAGCAGTAATGTGAGAATTTCTGCGTTCCGGTTTTGATAAGAGTGCTGGTGAAATTACAAGCACACGAGACTTGTCAACTTATGTCTCAGGGTGATAGACGCAGTGACATTGTCTTTTAGATCTCTGCGATTTAAAGCTCTGAATGGCATTGATGGACAGGCGTATCGCTTACCACCAGGCGCACGACTTGTTCGTCCCGTCATTTGGTATTCTTCAAAAGGAGTTACCCTGTAATATTGTAAATTTGCGCTTACGATTCTTTATGTAGGAGGGATCGAAATACTCTATGTTTTATGGGTGTGGTGGAGCGCAACAATAATAATATGAAAGAGTCACTCGTTTCACAGCGTCAACGCGTTTCTATCATTATAGTCCTCCGTAGCTGAGTCATGACCCATTTGACATGTGTGTCTGTTATTGACTTGCACTTTATTTTTCCTGCATGTTATGTGAAACTAATTTTAATTTAATTTTGGGATATTAGGTTACCCAAAATTGTTTATATTGTTATTGATTATTGCAAAGTGACTGACTGTTTAGACTTTTGACTTTAAATTAGTGCGTAGTGTGTAATACATCGCAAATGAAACCAAAAACTGTTCTAACTCAAAAAATGATGGAATTGAGAAAACATGATTTGAAAGTTCAAAAAATTACTGATTGGAACCAACAAATTTTATATTCTCATTTATATTTCATTCGATATTTTTGTTTTGGTTTTCAAATCGTTTTCACAATTCTATCACTTTTTAGTTCCGACAGTAGTTGAATTCATGTGCATTATGTATAATGTAATAATGATGTAATATTCAATAGTTTGACATTGATAATTATTGTTTTATTGGTATTACTTCACTGAATACTTATTCCATGTGCGTGTCCAAAAATATTTTACAGGCCTAATCAGGTGAAATATGTGTTCTATTACAATACTATGTTCCATAGTCGTTCACCGTGTTTTAAGCAAATAAAATTTTATATTATTTCAACATATCAATATTAGAAAAATAATATTATAGGTACCTCTAGCGGTTCCGGCGGCGTGTAGAGCAGCGAAGACGGGACGTGCGCAGCCGGCGGCGACCTGTTCTGCAGAGAGAGATACCTCTGTGTAATATACATTAATTGTACAATATATTCTATCATATATAATAATATATATTTTAATAGCAGTAGAGCTGCCACCATACCTATTTCTACCGTCAAGCAGTAATGTGAGGATTTCTGTGTTCCGGCATTGAAGGGTAAGGATGCTAGTGAAATTACAGGCACATGGGACTTTGTCATCTTATGTCTCAAGGTGACGGCCGCAGTGCAATATCCTTCAAATCTTTGCCATTCAAAGTTCTGACCGGCACTGCAACTGGTATGGACAGGCGTGTTGCTTGCCATTAGGCGCACGTCTTGTTCGTCCCGTCACTTAATATTATTTGGTGAAATGCACCGTGTTGTTGGTGCATTCAAACGTATAAAATACATATATGCTACGACTTTTGGACTAGCATTTGACTGTGATCTAATATTCTATTTTTTAAGAAGAACTGTGTCCATTAGCGAAAACGTAATATGGACTTGTGTGTCCTGTGATATGAATGCCAGAATAATGATAACTCTGACGGTAATACCCAGAATATCAAAACCAGAAACAACTTAGAAATGTTTGTTTCCTAAATTGGCCCAATCGGGAATCGAACCCGGAGCCTCCTCATCAAACGCTCATAGTACTAACCGCTGTGTCACCGAAGAGCACAAGCACACCCATTATTCTGTGTAAATACAAGCTAGACTTTCATATGTTTTTTTTCTAATATTCTCTTTGAATAGTAATAAAAGTTTACAAAACTGGTAAAATTCCATAACTGCAACTTTCAAAGGAAAAATCTATCGAAGTTTCACTACTCGCGGTTATACTTACAAAGCTGACAACTGTCAAGTGTCAAGGAGAAACTTTATTATAAAATGTCTATTTCCAACTTTTAATTAAGATTTTAACTGTTCGATCTTGAGGTTTGAATTAAATGGTTAAAGAAATCGAAGTATACAAAAAATATAGATATGACACAAATACAGATTAAATACAAAAGTAAAAACATAACAGTGTCACAGCAGCCTAAGGAGGCTGACTCAACATAAGCCAAAATTTCCTAAGGCGCTGGTTTTCAATCAGGACCACCGAGAGAGACTAAGTTATTTGTAAGCAAAAATATACAACGTAAAGTTATACATTGAAAAGATATATATATAGTAAAGTGTAAATAGTGCATATAAAATGACCTATTAGATATGTAAGTGTATGTGCGAGTGCGAACTTAGTACAGCTGTACGAGTAAATTGTGATTGTAAATAGGTTTTACTGTTGTAAAAAAGACCACGGAAAAGAGAACAACTAAACTTCATAGGTTTTTTGAGTTGAGAATAGACGTTGCCGTTACAGTGTTTTTAATTTGTGTTTGGATGTCTCATTGCGTACAAGTATTATAATTTGATCCTAGAATTCAGAATAAGTCTGCTTCGTAATCTCTTTCATCTCACTAATGTACAGGGTTCTAAAAAAGGGTCCAGTAACATGTTAAGAAATGGAATTGTCCATGACACTACAACTTCAGGGAGAATAGAAAAATCTGGTAGTTTTTTCATATAATTTCTCGAAAGTCTGTTTTACAAACGTGATAAGTAGGTAACATCGAGTATACCTATAACCAGAAATAGAGATAAGGGCCATACACTCCTGGCAACTCATCAGTGATACGTCACTCGTAAATATCAACTGTCGTTTACACTGAAATCAGATATTAGAAAGCGGAATTTTACAGCGCCAACAACTGACCTGTGTGTACGTCTCCTAATATTCCAAAAACATGCTGTATTTATTGTAATAAAGATGATATCTCTAACAATGGCATGCTGTTGCATTCGGTGGTGCAGGGAAAAGCAAAACATCTAATTACAAAACAAACGGATTCAAATTTCATCGGTAATTAAATATTAAATATGTAATTTTGTAATTTTCGTCCATAATAGCAAAGCTCAAGTTTATTGGTCTTTTTGAAGTGAAACAATTGACGACACCCATTGACGACACCCGTCAATTGTTTCGAATTCGGGCTGGCCAATCGGAGCGCAGTTGTCACAGTAATGATTTGGCAGAATAGTTTTTAAACAAATTAAATGACAATTTCGTCTCTATTGCTGGATAAATACTCGATGGTAGGTAATTTACCTAATTTGTAATTACGAACAAAGAACGTTTGATTCGTTCGTGGCATACAAAATCTTTCAGAACTGAAAAATTTAAATTAAAAATCTTTGTTCAATTTAAATTTACAATATTTTCGTAACATTTTTTTTATTAAAACTTTTGGCTTGGATTCAAGTCTTTTGAGCCATGTTTTCGTTTAATTATCGGGATCATCAGTAATATTTTCCATTGTGGTTCTAATACATTATGTTTTCACTGTCTCTTAAATAACTTAGTTCACTTATTTGGGTTTTTTAAATAGTCTTAAGCGCGGGAGTCAATATTTATGTTTTCACTTTCACTTAAATCACATTATCATCTATCACTTTGAACAAAAACTTTTACTCTTCCAGCTTCTTTGTTTTTCTTTGTAATATAATTTTTAATGCATAGGTACAATTAAATATGTGTAATAGTCATTGACTTACAATTATATGGACGTCGGGTCCGCGCTAAAAAGTGTCCGCACTTGTAATTTGCACAAAAAGATGCCTATAATATAGGTATACATTTACTTAGTTTAGGCCATTGACTTACAATTATATGGACGTCGGGTCCGCGCTAAAAAGCGTCCGCACTTGTAAGGCGCTAAAATCGTATACAGAGCGCGACACTCCGATTTAGTCTTCATTTGTTCTACGGACAGCGCGATACTGCGATGACATAACAATTTAAATTTGGAATAGGTTGACTTGGGACATTTTTTTCGTGGTTTTTGTATTAGACCCGTCGTCCATTTATTTGTAAGTCAATGGTAATAGTGTAATAATATGTATTGTTCAGAAATCGCGTATTTTATTGAATGAACTCCGCTCGACGAGTGAAGTATAAGTTGGAAAATAAGGCTCGTGTCTGACAAATATATTGCGTTTTAGGAAAATTTTTAAATATTATTAGAAAGCACAGAAAAGTGCTTTGTTGTATCTCATGTATTGAAAAATGCCGTGAGTTACAGACTTTTAAATTGAGCGTTAAAACTTTTGCCTGCCACTCGTGCAGTTACCAATCTTTTAAATCCAATATTTTCGTACGTTCGTAACTAAATTTTATGTTGCACTAGTAGTAAAAGTTTCGTCTTCTGGACTTTGATTTTTTGCCAATATTTTCATCGAGTTTTTAGATTTTCGAGCTTGCTACACATTGGAAAATGAAACTATTATTTCGGATCTAGCTCAATTTTATTTAGTCTTAGTTGTGAGCAGGGAACCCGAGCTTGAAGCGTTGGTTTGTTAGAAAAAACTACGCGATAAAATATGCGTGATTTGGATTCGAAAAAATGGTTTCATTTTTGAATTTTTGTGTTACAATGCCATGTTTGGGGTCGTATTTTTTATTCTTTCAGCCTTATTTGATACTTTTGTATAAATATGATTTTTTTTGTATTGAATATTTGTGATTTTGATCAAGCCGTCACCACATTAGCTGAACGAATGAATGAAAGTAGGTGAGTAAGTAGTGAAGACCCTAGCAATACATTCTTAGCATAACTAAAGCAACACAAATTGTCAGAATTCTTTATTGAAAATTTTATACTTTACTCACGTATATAGCGTTTAAATATGCAGTTCGCAAAATTGATACTTATTGGCTGAGTGTAAATTAGAAACGACGTCAGGAGCAAACGGCAAGCTTAGGCTTACTGGTGTTGGAGTAGCATTAATCTGAGAATCAGACCCATTCTCAGATTAATGCTACTCCAATATTAATTTTAATTCATGTGCAGATTAGTTTTTTTTTATAATACCAAGTGACGGCGCGAACTAATCTGTGCTTGGTAGAAAGTGACACGCCAGTCTATAACAGTTTGCAGTACCACTAAGAGCTTTAAATCGGAAAGGTGCACTCACACTGCACCCGTCACCCTGAGATATAAGTTGATAAGTCCCATGTGCTTGTAATTTCATCAGCACCATTACCGTTACCCTTAACCGCATTACTGTTTAGCGGCAGAAATATGTAAGGTGGCAAGTACTTTTCTGGACGAACTCTCACAAGGAGCTCTACTGCTACTAAACTAGATTGTTAATTATCGCTTGCTTTAAGGGGGAAGGAAGATTTAAGAAGGTTTATTACAACTTCTCGAAGTTATATGAAAGCCGCAACCCGAATCGGCCCAGCGAAATGGGGTCGCAACCCTTTCCTTAGAGGTTACCCGTGGCCATCAGTAGTGGAAATGTACTTAGTTTTAATTACTGGAAATGTACTTAGTTTTAAGTTTTCTGAATATTTATGGATCTTAGTTTGCTATTTATAGGTATAACGCCTGGCTTGAAACGACAGATTGAAGTTCCATCGACTTGGCGGCGCAACAGTTCGCCCTGTAGGCGGTGGAAACGGAGGTCCCCTTTTTTATAAAATATAAGTGCACATTTCACGTTCAACTCATCTGATGGAAAGCGACGATGAGGTCGACGATGGAGCATGCACACCCTGACAAAGCCTATTCATTCTCACTTTGAAAAGGCCAAATTTGTAACGTTCAGGAAATAAGTTTGCAGACAGGGAATCCACTCCATAGCCGTTCATCATATAAATGTAATATGATGCACAATGCATCATGCGAATCCCTAGAATATCCACAACACAGAGGTCAAGCCTATGTCTAGTCCCTCGGTGATGGAAAGGTGAAGGCAGAAATGAATCGTGGAATTCCTTCCCTCACCCTCCGTGATATATCCTGTAGAATACCTATAAGCCGGCAACTTTATGGCGGTGTTCAAGGCTCTGCAGCTTTGAAAGAAAGAATCGGGAAGATCCGGAAAGATCAATTTGGAATAGTAATCAATTGGGTTTGGTTTGAGTGTTCTGGGTAGTACCCTGGAGCGAACTCTAAGCTATAGTATTTATAGTA